GGATGTTCACTACATATTAACAGCTAGTTATCAACAATAAAATATTGAAGAAAATGGTATATACGTTTCAATAAGGATTATCAAAAGTTTGAGGCTAATAGAAAGGTAAGATAACCGTTGATCTTCTGTGTTGATGAAAACATCGAATGTATGCGGTCTTTGATTTATTGTTTTGTAATGATAGGTAAACAACTGAATTTGAAATTGTTTGTTTATCCAATTCTAGAAACATAGCAAATAATAATCCAGCTTAAGAATCTGGATTTCAATTACTTTCATGAATAGTTTAGACATTGTAAATGATAAGACAAATGTCTTTCCAAAAAATGAATTTTAAAAAGTATACTACTGATGTACTGTGAATTTTATAAAACAACATTTTTACAACCTCCTGTTGCGTTTTAATTAAACTGATTATGTATATTGCCATCTTAAGCAATTGTGTTTAAGTGAGCTTTCGATTTGCAAGTTACGATGAGCATCAGAACCGACAAACTCTGCAAGAGAACGAAACATGAGACAATTGTATGATACAACAAAGAAACTCAATGGAAATTATCGCAAACCAGAACGTCCAGTGAAAAGCAAGGAAGGCAAAGTAATTACCAACACTGAAGAACAACGAAACAGGTGGGTAGAACACTTCAAAGAACTCTTGAATCGACCAGCCCCACTGAACCCACGCAACATCGAAGCAACACCCACGGACCTCCTAGTCGATGTTGGCCCACCAACAATTGGAGAGATCAGCATAGCCATCAGACAAATTAAAAGCAGCAAAACAGCAAGACCAGACAACATTCCAGCAGAGGCAATGAAGGCAGACATAGCGGTAACTGCAAAGACACTCCACATTCTCTTCAATAAGATTTGGGATGAAGAACAAGTACCAACAAACTGGAAAGAAGGACACCTCATCAAAATACCAAAGAAAGGCGATCTCAGCAAGTGTGAGAACTACAGGGTCATCACTCTACTCTCAATACCAGAAAAAGTATTCGACAACGTATTGTTAAACAGAATGAAGGACTCCGTAGACGCCCAACTTCGAGAACAACAGGCAGGATTCCGTAAAGATCAATCGTGTACGGACCAAATAGCAACACTACGAATCACTGTGGAACAATTAATTGAATGGAATTCATCACTTTACATCGACTGCTTTGACTACGAAAAAGCATTTGATAGCGTGGACAAGACAACACTATGGAGGTTTCTTCGACATTACGGCGAGCCTGAAAAAATAGTCAATATAATACAGAATACCTATGATGGATTATACCGCAAAATTGTTTATGGAGGATAGTTCATAGACTTGTTCGAAACAAAGACCAGAGTCAGGCAAGGTTGCTTACTCTCAACCTCACCCTTTCTCTTTCTCCTGGTGATCGACTGGATTATGGAGACGTCAACACCTGGGGAGAAGCATGGGATACAGTGGACATCTAGGATGCAGCTGGACCATCTAGACTTCGCAGACGATCTGGCTCGTATGTCGCACACGCAACAACACATGCAGGAGAAGACGACCAGTGTAGCTACAGCCTCAGCAGCAGTAGGTCTCAACATACACAAAGGGAAATGCAAGATTCTCTGATACCACACAGCATGCACCAATCGAATCACAATTGACGGAGAAGATTTGGAAGATGTAAAAACCTGTATATATCTGGGCAACATCATTGATGGACAAGGTGGATCTGATGCAGATGTGAAGGCGCTGATCGGCAAAGCAAGAGCAGAATATCTACAATTGAAGAACATCTGGGACTAAAAACAACTGTCAACCAACACCAAGGTCAGAATTTTCAATAAAAATGTCATGACGGTCCTACTGTATGGGGTAGAAACTTGGACAACTACAAAAGCCATCATCCAGATGATACAAGTATTTATGGACAGTTGTCTACGCAAAATATTTCAGATCCGTTGGCCAGACACTATCAGCAGCAACCGACTGTGGGAGAGAACAAACCGGATTCCAGTAGAGGAAGAAATCAGGAAGAAGTGCTGGGAGTGAATAGGATACAGATTGAGGAAATCCCCCAACTGCGTCACAAGGCAAGCCCTCACACTTAGTACTGAAGGTCAAATGAGGAGAGGAAGACCAAAGAACATATTACGCCGAGAAATAGAGACAGATATGAGAAGAACGAACAACAACTGGATAGAACAAGAAAGGAATGTCCAGTACAGAGTGTGTTTGAGAATGCTGGTCGGCGGCTTATGCTCCATTGAAAGTAACAGAAGTAAGACCTTTCAATTTGACTCTTCGTTATCAATATTCATAACTTATATGACTTCTTGTTCCAGAATCTACCCAAGCACTACAAAATTCAAAAGTCTGATAGCAATAGAAGATACTTTGGAATATACAAAATATTCCAACGTAATTATTCAGTTCACATCATGGTTACTGTTTTACAAACTAGTCACTTAATTAGTTTATTGCAAGGTAGTGAGTTTAAACTAATCATTCCTAGTAAAATGATTGAGTGAATGAATTCTCAGTCAACCAATTAGTTAACCACAGTCAGTCATAATCAATGTAAAACCTGTCACAAATATACGTTAGCCTGAATTACTATACCACTTTAATGCGACGACATGAAATTATCAATTTATTTGTTTAAACACATAAACGTTGGTACATGGAGGCACTGAATACATATGCGCCACATAAATCATTTAATTTATGTGAGGGCTGACGTACTGATCGAGTGCCCAGACCGAAACAGATGGTTTTCTTAGGGGGCCACATCCGAAGCCTTTAACCTAAAAGTCTGATCCACAAGGTAGTGGAGCAGCGTCAGGAGGTGCAGTCCCATGGTAGCCGTTCACCAAAAATAGGTTAACGCGCCAGTTTTTCCTTCAGAATCCTGGAACCCATGTGCACTATTGGTTTGGAATGAGGGTTTTCCAAATCCTCTAGTTCGACTCTCCATGTCCACCAACCCGGTGAAATCTCTGGACATTCGTTTTTCGTCCTATGAAGTTCGTAAACAACACCTCCATCGCGAGAAGGCAGTGGGATGAATTGAGTCAAGATGATTTCGTTATGATGATACAAAATACTTAAAATCGAAAATATGATTAAAAAAGACAAAGTGAAAAGGTATGTACGAATAGAGAAGACGTCAAAAATGATTGTCTTTTCTAAAGAATTTATAACTTTAATTAGCTTTATGTATAAATTGATTACGACTTTCTTCCAGGAGATTGTTATATACTAGTGAAGATTAAATTACGGGTAACTTCTAAGAACTATTCAGTAATTAGATTATGTATATTTATATTCTTTCTATTATAAGCTTTATTTTGATCTATACACTATTATGACACGATTTATTGTTCTTAAATTATACTCAGTTTATTGATTACAATCTCCCACGTTCACAGCCACGTTTGGGCTTGACCTTGTATAAATCTTATTTCCTATTTCATAGTGTGATGAGGTCTGTTTAACTGGTATATAAACCAAGTATATTTGAAACAAATGATTTGCATAGTAGAAGCTGTCATCGATGTTCTAGACTCAATTGAAAGGGCTAGAAGATCAAAGGATGCTAGGTTGCTGCTCATACCAGTCAGACGTCATTGGTTTAGCACAATACTAAGATTGAATAAGTCGTATTTTGATTGGCGAATAAATCATATGACAATTAGCCAGGCTTACAACAGAGATTATCAAGTTATATGATGAAACTATTCAAAACAACTTTCAACCAATACCAAAGTGAGAATCTTCAATACCAACATCAAGGCAGTTCTACTGTACGGAGCTGAAACTTGAAGAACTACAACAACCACTATCAAGAAGGTACAAGTATTTATAAACAGCTGTCTACGCAAGATACTCAACGTCTATCGGCCGTATACTATCAGCAACAGCCTACTGTGGAAGAGAACAAACCAGCTTCCAGTTGAAGAAGAAATCAGGAAAAGACGATGAAAATGGATAAGACATACATTACAGAAATCACCAAACTGAATCACGAGACAAGCGCTAACTTGGAATCCTGAAGGAAGGTGGAAAAGAGGAAGGCCAAAGAACGCATTACGTTGGGAAATAGAAGCAGATATGAAAAGGATGAATAACAACTGGAAGGAGATGGAAAAGATTGCCCAGGACAGGGTTGAATGGCGAGTGCTGGAGAGCGGCCTATGCTCCTCTACGAGGAGTAAGAGATGTAAGTAGTGATGAGACTATAATTTAGGAACGACCTTTGTGCAACTCTAGACTAACCTTGAAAGTGACCACTTAATAACCAAGACCAAGTGAAAGTTATAAACCTGTATGAGGAAATCAAATTATGATTTACAGTTAGTGGTTAAGGTGAGGAACTAAATTTTGGAGGTTACATCACAAACTGACATCAACTAAAATTTCGCGCCAAAATCCAAGACCTATTATCATTTTATATAACTGATCGATTCACTTGGTATTGTTTTACTTGTATCTTCCCATTCTGATTTAAGACTGCAATTGATCAGTCTGTTATTGGTATATGTGCATACTGTTCGCATGCCTCAATATTGCCTAATTTACAAGCATTATAAGCAAAGATGGATAGCGGCTAGCAGTGGAATCCAGAACGCACGTTTCGTCTTATTTCGGACTCGTCAGCTGGATGTATCTGCATCTCAAAATTGATATTCACTCTGGGACTCGAACTCAGCACCGTTCGCTTCAAACGCCATCACGTTATCCACTTAGCTACTGAGTCCTGATAGCCACTTGCTTTTACAATGGGGTGAATTTGAATTCACTTGATATTGTTTTTACTTGAATCTTCCCATTGATGTTTTAGGACTGAAATTGATCAATCTCTTATTGGCATATGTGTATACTGTGCGCATGCCTCAATATTGCCTGACGAGTCCCAAACAGGATGAAACGTGCGTCCTAGATTCCACTGATAACCACTATCCATCTTTACTTATATCTGATTGGTTCATCCATAAATGATATAATAATCTCACCAAATAAATAAACTTACCATTTATTTCAAGATTTTCAGATAAAATTGATTTTTCCATTGATAACCATGTAATATGTGTACTCATTGAAAATAAACCAATTGGTATATGTAAATGATGAAATTTTGCTGGATTACGATGATCATAAATATAAATATGAAATAATCTTTGTGTTGTTAATCCAATAATTGTAAGAATAATTCCAATAAATATTAATCCTAAACTAATATGATATATAATTAAAGTACATCGTTTAGGATGTTTCCTTCGAGAATTTGAATGATTATGATGTATCATCGACTTATGCTTCATTATAAGGGGATTAGTCTTAGAAACTGTGCTTAGTTAATCAGTCCATTTGAATTTATACATTCGTTTAATTCTCTTTCTCCACATATGATTGGTGAATTGATAGGTAACCAATAAGGGATTAATAAACAAACATTTTGATTGTTGTGCCCTTGAAAGATCAATGATTTGTAACCAATAGGATGTTTTGTTTTGAAGGTCATAAGAAATCTATTAAAATATGAATATCTATGTTATTGAATAATACAAATCAACTATTCATGCTTCAAATAGGTTTTGAATTATTATTACCATATGGATATTAAGATTGACAATGTAGGTTCAAGTTGTCATGCCTTAATTAGCACAACAAGATCAATAGCGAATTCATAAACATGGTTACTTCAGTGGTGGTAATATATAAAAGATTGTATATAAGGATATTGTTATAACTTGTAGGTTTCCAATGTTTACATGTATGGGATATTAACTAACATTAGACAAATATCTACACTAGATTCCCTCCCAGTGTCTATTCTGTAGGACTTTAACAAAACTCAGATGATCAAGAACATATGATTAGCTTGACCACAATGTGAATATATATCCATACCAAAAAAAACCGATACGATTCAACAATAATGAACAATCAATAATAAGTGAGTAATAATAATAATAATAATAATAATAATAATAATAATAATAATAATAATAATAATAATAATAATAAGGATAAGGGGAATATATAACTTATCTGACACTTGTCAGACTATCTACATATCTGACTAAGCAGACAACCAATTATTATCATTCTCGCCCACACATCAGACATAGTACAAGAAGAAAGAATTAGTTGATAGAAAGAAAGATATGTAGTGATATTAATCTTATAGTTTAAGGGAAGACAAAGAATGTATACACCTATGCTATTGTGATCGATTCTGAGCCATGTCACCCAGAGTCTTCAATCATTGGTTATGATAGTCAAACGGACCCCAACCAGGTAGTTTGTATCTACCAACATGGCTCAGACTAGAAGTTAGTGACTTTGTGGACTGATGCCACGTTTTGGTTTGGCCGTCCGTAACTTTCTTCTAACTGTCTCCAACACTGGTCAGCATTGCATGTCTTAGTAATCCGTGTTCAGGAATACGTAACACCGTCGTCTAACCATCTCAATCTATGAAGATTTACAACCTCATCAACTGATTGACCATCATTACCCGATACGTTGCGTCTAACCTCACTATTACATACCCGGTGATCCCATCAGATGTGAGCAATATTTCTAAGACATCTGTCACCAAATAGGAGTAGCTTACGAGTATCTTCTATTATTAATGGTCACGTTTCGCAGCCATAAAGTAGAACAGAATGAACTGCTACACAATAGACTCGTCCTTTAATTGATAGATGGATATCTCGCCTTCGCCATAGGTGATGTAAATTAGCAAAAACCAAACAAGATTTTTGAATCCGTGCAGAGATTTTGTCAGACACCAACTCATTAGGGCTGATCAGACTTTTAAGATAAGTGAAGTCATCGATGTATTCAACTACTTTACTTCCTATCCTTAGTTCAGATGTTGACACAAGCCTGTTCTACTGCAACAACTTGCATTTTAAATGGAAAGAAACGTATTAATAAAATGACATTGAAAGTTTAATTGTATAAAACGTCTTGTAAATTCTGCATAGATATTCTAAGTAAGCAAATGAGATAAAGTAAAACTATCACAAATGAACTGAACAGATGACTTTCTTATATTAAATTCAGTTAATTGATGAGTCTTGATGATAAAAGTTGTTCAAGATAGTATTTTTCGATAGTATAACTGAGTTATACTGTTATGCTTGAAAGTGGTAAACATTCAATAACAGTTTAGGGGGGTATTTTTTTATTTATGAAATAGCACTGATTATCTACCAGTGATCACCCTGAAAGACAAGTTACTATGGTGTATGAACATAATTTTATGAATGATCTTTGAACAGTGTTTAAGTAATCTTTAGGATGTCCAGCTGTTTATTATAACTAAATGAGGGTTATAAATTAGTGTAGACAATTAGGATTAGGACTTACAATTGAACATTAGTGTTAAGCATTAGAGTTAGAGTTTTCATCACAAACTGATACCAGCAATAGTGCCAAAATGTTATTTAGTCATATGAATAGGTGAATTTTGCTCTAAAATCAAAATCCGAATATCTTAAATCTTGTTCACAAATTATAATCTCATAGTATTTAGCCTCAGAAAAACATGTAGATTTCAACAACTTCCAATGAATACATGTGGTATTTGTACGAACTAATGATTACTTTGTACATGATTACCCGCTGATTACGAATTCCAAATATAATACGTTCCACTGTTCATACTTACTTACTTACGCATGTTACTCCTCGTAGAGGAGCATAGGCCGCTCACCAGCACTCGCCATTCAACCCTGTCATGAGCAATCCTTTCCAGCTCCTTCCAGTTGTTATTCATCCTTTTCATATCTGCTTCTATTTCTCAACGTAACGTATTCTTTGGCCTTCCTTTTCTCCTCTTCCCTTCAGGATCCCAAGTTAGTGCTTGTCTCGTAATGCAGTTTGACGATTTGCGTAGTGTGTGTCCTATCCATTTCCATTTTCTTTTCCTAATTTCTTCTTCAGCTGGCAGCTGGTTTGTTCTCTTCCACAGCAGGCTGGTGCTGATGGATGTTGAGTATCTTGCATAGACAACAACCCCGCTCTTCTAGAGTTACTTCCGGTTCCAAGCCCGGGTAAAGGAGGAGGGTTGAGCATGGATTTAGCGACCCCATCCGGTAGAAAACTAATTCCCTAAACAATCGCTAACGAGAAAAATAATTCAAACCATTCCATTTGTCATAAGTCGCATTATATCGGGAATTCTTAGATATCAGATTAATTCAAATACTTCTAATTATCATAATATATTACAACAAAACTTGAAAGCAGTCTTCCGAAAATATCTAATAGAATTATTAGTGACTAATGTGAAGGAAAGTGAGCTGACTAAACCAAAGTCGCATCGATTGCATCCAATAATTGCATATTGATTGATGAAATTCGATAAGCGCTAAGAACTAGATAAGAATACCGTTGGCTACTAAACGGTGATCAATTGGTGTAAACACCTTAGTCTTACAACAGGTCTGTCGTGACTTGAATAGCTTAGTTACAATATGTCTGACTGTTGTATAAGGTGACATAAGTTTGAACCCGACAAGGAGTATCGATTTATTCAAGCCTTTAGAAACACCTATCTGTCGAATCCTAACTAGTACGGAAGATAGGTTCAGAGATTCCGGTCGATTGTCTCCAATCACATAACATCCGTATCAATGCTCAAAACTGTAAGACATTGATTTTGAATGCAAAAAGATTAACTTAAAAGATGAATTGGAAACTCAATTTTTCGTACTTCAGAATATTTTTTATGATGTGGTTAAAGGTAATAGGCAGAAAATCCAACTTCTTACAACCAATTAACGTCAAAATATGGTGCTCACGACGTTCAGTCACTTAGACTATTTGTTAAGTTACAAATTAATCGATAAGATTCAGTCAGAACCAAGGACTAAGCTACTCAGTAATCAGTGAACATAAACAGTGGAATTTCTATGATAAGTAAGTTTACTGAAAGCTACACAAAATTGGACCACATCAGTTTCGAAAAGCCGACAGAGTTGATAAGAAAGTAACCGTCAGAAAACTGGTTTACTTAAGAAAATCAGTTAGTAATAGATGGGTTACTCAATTTCTTAATGAAATCTATCCTATTTTTAAGCTTGTGAATGTTCCGACTGTTGCTATTAAGGTCTACAGTTAATCAGTCTATTTTAGCATATCACAAGGGGTTTTGTTGAGATTTTAGTAATTTCAATAGGTGAGATCATGAGTCCATTGAAGCCAAACCACTGTAGAAAACTCGAAGTCAGTACCTTTCGCTTCAAACACCTATCACATCATTCACTGATCTATTGAGTCCAGATAACCACGGTTTTGTGCAACAGATATGTATTTTATTTGTAACTGTATGAATCTTGAAACAAAAGGTACTAGGTTCAAATCCCTGACGGGAATACGGGTACATTCCGTTCAAGACTCCCAAATAAGATGAAGCGAATGTTCTGTTGGATGCTAACCAATATTGACAAAAAAACACTCACTTATAAATGTATTTACTAAGATTTGCGAAATATAATACATTTTGAAAGAAGGATAGTGGCTAGCAGTGAAATCTAGGACGCGTGTTTCATCCTATTTAAGGCTCGTCGGTTGGATGTACATGTACATGACATTGATCAATCTTAATCTTAAATAACAATGGGAAGATACAAGTAAAACAACACCAAGTGAATATAATACGTTGTTGTTTGGTATTTTAATCATATATTTATCTGGTCTTCTGTTGTTCAAATTGAAGGTTTGGAAATTTCTATGACCTATCGATCGTACGACAAGTCATAATAATATTTAAGAAGTATAGAACATATAACACTCAAAATACTAACGATCGTGAATGTATATTCAGGTTAAGTATTAAGTAAAATTATCATTTAAGTCTATCTTTCTCTAAAATCTAGTTAAGAAAGAATAATGTAGAACATGAATGTACTAATCCATTCATTTTATCACAATTGAAATCAAAGCACATACTACAAAATCTCTGCTGATATGATAAAATCAAACAAGAGGGATTATTTAATTACTATGCATAGTCGATCAGTAAATATGTAATCAAATGGTCAGTGATTGATTAACTAGTGTTAAATACCATTCAATTTATATGATACAGAAATCTAAATGTTAATCTGATCGCAAAACTAATTAATCATATAAATTTTGATATATTCATGTAATCGCAATTGATTGATCACTGGGTGGTGATCAATGTCATGCTTGTCTAGTCCTTATTAGTGCAGATCGAATGCTGTCGATCGTGTTGCAATGTGGCCACCAGTCTGGGTGACTCGACACTGCGTGCACTATATATTGAGATTAGATGGTGGTTGGAGGTAGTCAACAGGAAACCCTGGAACCGGGTTTCGTGCTACTTGGCACTCGTCAGCAAGGTGTACCTGTCATCCTGAGAGAACTGGTGCTCCTTGATGGATTCAACCCCGAGTCATCCAGCTTCACAATCAGAGACGTTACCACTGAGCTATCCGAGCCACGACCGACCTCCTGTAGGACTGAGTTGTAATCACAATTGATTGATC